AGATTTTATTTAAATAAATATCCTTATTGATTGACTCCCTTGTTTTATATTCACTTTTCTAAACTTGAATCTTAGCTAAAAGGCCGAGAAGCGATCCATCTGGATTCTGCAATTTCATACTTTTGTACTATTGTTGTTCTACTTGATTTTTCTAATTCATTCGGCTCTGTAAATCATAATTTCCTTATTTGGAAACTTACGCATCTTTTCGGTTTTTTTTTACTGTTACTAGCTTTATCTCCTCCTCTCTCTCTGACAGAACTAAGAGAGTTAAGGCATCAAATTCTCCTTTTTTTCTCTCTCTCAATTTCACCTGGTGTAGCCCAACGAATAATTCTTGGACCTTTACTCTTTTCCATGTTCCTAAATGATCGTTCATTAGTTCTTCTCAGGTTCATCTTTATGCAGTTGACAATGAGCTTTACATTCAATGTCCTGTAAGCAACAACTCTGAAGCTCTCTGCTCAACTTTAATCTTTATTCTCTCAATCATGATCAAGTTATAACGGCAATCTTTTAAATCCTAACATTTATTAATTTCCAAACAGACAGGTTACCTATCCCCTCCTCATACGAATGGCTAGCCTAATAATTTTTGTCATAAAGGTAAAAAGTCTGGGCGTTATTTTTAACTCCATAATTATATGACTGGACCACGTGAGCTCGGTTATTAAAAAGGTCTACTCATGCCTCCATTCTGTTCTATCCTTTAGCTCTGTCACTCCACTACAGTTTTTCTTATTAAATCCTAAATAACTCCTTTATTCTCTTTCTGTAGCGGTATTTTTTCACTTTACTTCGACTGCTCATCGTCTTCAAATTGCTTATCATTGTTGTATTAGATACTATTATGATCTTGAATCAAGAAATCATATTTCTTCTCATATTAAGGTCTTCGGCAACCTTAACATTCTAAGCACTTATAAACTTAGAGTTATTAAAATTGAATCAAATAAATGCCCTCAATAATTATCAACTTTTCCCCACATTCCTTATCAAGTTCCTCAATTATGTCCCAAGCAACACTCTTCTAAAACGATAGCCTTATCCTTCAGATTTGCAGGGTCAAGACTATGGAATATGCTTCCTCGGGAAGTACGTTCTGCTTAGTCTATCATGTTTCAGGTCTATGGCATATGATATTTTAAAAAGACATGAATCTTCCCTCTTCCTTTTCTTTTTTTTGTCTTTCTACTTTTCTTTCATAATGTGGTTTAATCATTCGAATGTAATTAATTAATATGTTAAAGAATATATTGCTTTTCGATGGACCCATCCTGATTTTGTATACCTCTATAATGTGATAATGGGTAGGAAACAAATAGTCTTTTCCACAATAGGTTATATTTTTTGTTTTCAATATTAAGGTTGACCTAGTTATGAAGATATTTTCAAAAACTTAACAAAAAGAACGTTTTATGGTTCGTGATCATGATCATGATGACGAGTTTTCAAGTGGTGAAGGGGATTTCCTCGCGGAAGTGCTCTCGAATCTTGCAGTTGCTGCCATCTGTGACTCGGTTCTGCAAAGCTTCCGGCTGGCTCTTTAGGGTTTGGCGGCAAAATTGACCTGGGCTCGTGGTTCCCAGGGCGATGAACCGACCGTCTGTGGCCTTGCTTTTGCTCTCGAGCTTTCGTGATCTCTTCTTCGTCTTTGTCTAAGAGTGTTTCTCTCTTTTTTTCTTCCTTCTTCCCGTCTTTTGCTTTTTTCCCCACCACGTTTTATTATTAGATTCGGTACAACCGGGTGGGGGCGGGCGACGGTGAACCAGTCTATCGTTTTTTACGCATTATCTATTTCAGTTTTGTATTATAAAGCATCAATGTATGTGTGATCTGGCGATTCATCTTCAGACACCAGATAATAAGTCAAGCATTGAAATGCTATCTCGTTTGATAGAGATACAGACGCATTCTTAAGAACGTCAGAGAAATTTTTCTGTATCTTCAATCTCAAAAATTTCTCAAAAGATAGTCTTTGACCTCATCCTTTGACACCGCCTAAAAAAATAGGCCTAGTAAGAAAATAAATACTAAACAACCTCTTTCATATACTCAAACCCGATTTTCAACTCATAAATGACGAAACCGCTGGCGGCAAGAATAAATAACAAAGTAGTCAAGTTCCGGGTTTATATTTTATAAGAAAAGGCTGGAAAATTAGCCAATGAACAATGGACTTGAATACACAATGTCGTCCATTGTCCAAAATGCTTTTGTGAAATAACAAGAACGAAGGGTTATTTAAATGCGAAACTAAGAGTTCAGTACAGACAAAATAATATGCTAAACAAATGAAATTGAATAATGATTTAATGAAATTGATTGAAATCGCTGTGCAATGTTAAATACTACTACATTTATTACTCTGTTTGTCAGTCTTTTGTTGACAGTTTTTTAAGGAATTTCGTAACGTGATCGTTTCTGATCATTTTTATCCGCTCGTCCTCGCTAATTTTACCGTAACTGCTTTTCCCAATCTTCAGCCGAGGATTTTGGTACAAATAGTAAACTTGAAATTCCACTAGGCAAGACCCAAGAAGACCCCGGAATCGAACCAACTATTAGTTCATCACACCTCAGGTCCCAATAGAAAATTCCAAAAACTGTACTATTTGTAGACATGCGCTATTTTTATCAATTTGGTGTATTTACATACAAATTACATTCAGATAATGTTGAATTGTTAATTTGTTCATGAGTTCTGCGACATGATTTACTAGCAGTTTGGTCATTTCAGATTATTTTGGCCTGTCATACACATTTTTGCTTTTCGCCATCTTAAACCTTTGGTTTTGCTGCAAATTGTAAGGTTTGGAGACCAAATACTGTAGCAAAATTCCAACAGACGAAACCACCGAGACCAGACAGACCCAGAAACGTGTTACTTTAAAACTTTATAGTTTGGCCGGTTTTTGATCATCCTAGTCCTCCTGTGTTCGCTGTTTTCCTTTTTCACCATATTCTGTGTTGGTTTTGTGACTTGACAAACCAAAATAGCAAAGAGAGGCCGTCCAGAAATACTGAAAGGCACCAAACTCAGGATCATCATCCTCAGACTTAAAAGGGTAATAAAAACTGTACTATTTTCAGATATATTCTGTTTTTATCAATTTGGAGTCCGTATTCAGTATTAAAAACAGATAGTTCTGAATTATTAATTTTTTCTTCAGTTCTGCGACATGTACCGATGGTTCGGTCTTTTCCGATTATTTTGGCCTTTTTAGCCTCACTGGTTTAGTCTGTGAGACCCAATTATTCTTTTTGTCATCTTCAGCCTTTGGTTTTCTGCAAATTGTAAACTTTGGAGACCAAAACTTTGCAAAATTCTAACAGACAAAACCAGAGAGACTAGATACAACCAGAAACGGCCAAACTCAGGTTCATTACTCCTCAGACCTCAATGAGCAATGAAAACTAGACTATTTCTAAGTATATTCTGTTTTTATTAATTTTGCGTCTTTACGTACAAATTTAATACAAATAATTATGAATTATTAATGTTTTCTTCAGTTCTACGACGTAATGAACTTGTGTTTATGTTGGCCTTTTTAGTCTCACTGCATTAGTCTGTGAGATACATTTATGCTTTCCGTCATCTTCAGCCTTTGGTTAAGCTACAATTGGTAAGCTTTGAAGATAAAATGCTGTAACAAAATTCCATCAGACAAAACCAAGGAGGTTAGGGAAACCCGGAAAGGACCAAACTACAGGTTCATGTTCCTGCATACTTCAAGGAGAATCCCCAAAACTGTTTTATTTCTAGACATGATCTATGTTTATCTATTTTATATCTTCACATACAAATCAATTAAGGGCATTTACTGTGTCCCCAACCCTGTCACAATCATATAAAAACATCAGATACAGAGTACAAATTCACGTTTCACAACAATTTTACACCAAACCAACATGACACCTCAACAATAGCACCACACTATTATTGAACTATTGAACGAAGTACTTCATAGTCACATAGTATGAAGTACTTCGTTCAATATTTATATTTACATCTGTACAGTATTTTTTCCAATAAACGTAAGTTTTTAATTCACTCAGGCCCTGAAGAAGACCCGAATACAGGTCGAAACGTCAGCAAAAAAAATGTATTTTTCTAGAATAATTCATTCTTGACCGCTCCTCACGACTTCAGCAAATTATTTACCTAGCATTTTTGCTGCCTCGTTGCTTGAAATTCCCTCAACACTTGGGTCACACATTGGCGTTAGGCTATTTGTAAATCCCTAAATTGCTGGACGATTTCTATAAGAAAAATAAATCCGCCTTGTATTTTCTGTTTCAAAACCGTTAAAAATGCGTTACAGTGTAATTATTGATTGTGAATAATTAACATGTGAAATTTACAAATTTATAAATTTAATTTATGACGAAATAACTTACACACGTGACACTGAAGATGGCGAGATGACGAAGGCCTGACAAACCAAGTCGACGAGGATAGGGCAAAATGCAAATTTGATCGTGCTGTTTCCATTATCGTCGTCCTAACAATTGACTAGATTCTTATTGTTCGTCTAGTCGTTTCTATTTTCCTCCAGTGGAAAAGTTGCATATTCATGCTTTTGTTTGGGAAAAAAGAAAAGAAAGTAGATTACAAAGACTTCGTGAACTTATCTAACTTTTTATTTTTTACGTATATGCATTTGGAGGCTCTTTCTGCTTCCTCCTCAGTACATGTTTATTTTGAGTGTCAACAGACGTCTGACGTATCTACGTGAAAAATAAGTTGGAAAAGCTTACGAAGTCTTTATAATCCAGATTCTCATCCATACCCAACAAAAAGAAATGGAAGAAATGAAAGTAGGATCCGTTGCCGAGGGACTTTGGCGAGGGAGGCCGGTGAAGTTGGAAGCAGTGAGTTGGCTGCAGGTTCGACGTCGAGTCGGGAGATGGTGCCAAGCGGCGGGTTTGGTTTCGTTGATGGTGCCGGTTTCCTGCCACTGCTGGCATCTGTAGTCGCAGGAGACAAGCATCATTGACCCGTCGCCGTCTCCATCCTCTCTCTCTTCTCCATCTCTCTTATTACGACGTCCATTGAAAATCTGGGGTACCGAGTCGGCCATTTTTGTGCTTTGCAGAAAGTGTCAAATCGAAGAGGGTCGTAAATCGGTGGCCGAGTGAGTTTCGGTGGTGTTGGAAGTGTGTTCGCCGTGTGGAAAAGACCGAGGTAAGATGACGGAGTCCTGCGGTGGGTTGTATTGACCGATAAACGAGGTCGGGAGAAGGTTGTTAAAACCGATTGGAACCTTGGCGAAAGGGTGAAAAAATCTGTCTCTCTCTCTTTCCTGCGGAACTTCGGTTCTGGTTTTTCCCCCGGTTACATTTTCGTGCGAAGGGTGAAAGAAGCGGTCGGAAGCCCTGGAAGGTATAAAAGGCAAAACCATGGGAAATGCCGCAACGGCCAACAAGAAGGGGGATTCTGCGGAAAGTGTCAAAGAATTCCTCGACCAGGCCAAAGAGGAATTCGAAGAGAAGTGGAAGAAGAATCCGACCAACACCTCCTCCCTCGATGATTTCGACCGAATCAAGACCCTCGGGACGGGATCCTTCGGCAGGGTTATGATAGTGCAACATAAACCGACGAAAGAGTACTACGCGATGAAGATCCTCGACAAGCAGAAGGTGGTGAAGCTGAAGCAGGTGGAACACACCCTGAACGAAAAACGTATTCTCCAAGCCATAAGTTTTCCCTTCCTGGTGAGTCTGAAATTTCATTTTAAAGACAATTCCAATCTCTATATGGTGTTAGAATACGTTCCTGGAGGGGAGATGTTCTCCCATTTGAGGAAAGTTGGCAGATTCAGCGAGCCCCACTCGAGATTCTACGCGGCTCAGATTGTGCTGGCGTTCGAATACCTCCATTATCTCGACCTCATTTACCGTGATCTGAAACCGGAGAATCTCCTCATCGATTCGCAAGGTTATCTCAAAGTCACAGACTTCGGTTTCGCCAAGCGGGTCAAGGGCCGGACATGGACCCTGTGCGGGACACCCGAGTATCTGGCTCCAGAGATCATCCTTAGCAAAGGTTACAACAAAGCCGTCGACTGGTGGGCCCTCGGCGTCCTCGTCTATGAGATGGCTGCGGGCTACCCGCCTTTCTTCGCCGATCAGCCCATCCAAATCTATGAGAAAATAGTATCTGGGAAAGTGCGGTTCCCATCGCACTTCGGTTCCGATCTTAAAGATCTCCTCAGGAACCTCCTTCAAGTAGATTTAACCAAACGTTACGGAAACCTAAAGAACGGTGTTAACGATATTAAGGGACATAAGTGGTTCGCTTCCACGGATTGGATCGCCGTATTCCAGAAGAAGATCGAAGCCCCTTTCATTCCCAGGTGCAAGGGCCCTGGAGACACAAGTAACTTCGACGACTATGAAGAGGAAGCGCTCAGAATTTCATCGACTGAGAAATGTGCAAAAGAATTTGCAGAGTTTTAAACCACTTCAAAGGCAAGATTACATTTAATAATTTTTCTTTTGCTTTTACAAGGTTAAAAACAAAAGGAAATATTAGCAATTGGAACAGCTAACACATACACAAAACCAAAAAAAAAGAAAAAAAAAGAAAAGAAAGGAGAATCAGTTCTATTGAACCATGATATAAATATATATATATATATAACTAGTTTAGATTAAACTTAAAAATTAAGGAGCGCCGACACTCCCAAATAGTACCGCTTCAAACGGTTCTCTCGCTTGGATTATTTATATACGGGTCTTCCTAAACTAGGCGAGGGTTCTCTTGATTCATTATCGTCTCGGTGTGTTTAGAAAATTTTACAAAGTAGCATTTCTCCAGTGGCTCCCCCTCATTATAAACAAGTGACAAAATTAGAAGTCTTTGGACAGTCTTTGAATTTTCACAAGAACCCCTCCCCCCATCGCCCTAAAGTGAGGAAAAGAAAAGGGAAAAAAATCTAAAATATTTATTATAAAATGTGCAAACTCTGCATGCTTTGTGTATTATAATCAAACAGCTTGTTTCTCTTTTTTGTTAGTGTAATTTGATTTTTGAATTGTACAAATTAGAAACTTTTTAAAATTTGTCGCTTTCGCTTCTATTAGAAAGAATATATAAAAAAATCTGTAAATAAAATTCACAAATTCAGATAAAATATTTAAAAAAAACAATCAGCCTTTTTTAGCATATTTATTCAAATCTGTTACAATGATGAAGACACTTTTAGATATTTGGTTTTGTAATTACCATTTATTTTGTGACCTGTTAGCTGTAGTAGTGTTTTCCTTATTTGTTGCTTTGAAAGTATAAGTTTTGAGGTTGATAATATAGTTCCTGCCGTTGTAATTACAGATAATACAATAAATAACATCAGAATCACTCAGTACAATATGGTATTGGATGAAAATAAAATTTCTTTTTAATAAATCCTAGACATTTTTTTTTTCTTGCAGTGTGTTAAAAATTGAACGTTCAAAACAAACCATTATACAATTGTTATGTAATGAGAGAATTGACAATTTTGGTGACATACCACAAAGCGAAACGATATCAAAATTTAAATTGAATAAAACAGTGAAATATAAATGTCCAAAATTAAGATAAATTTTGACATTATTTTGTAAATTTCATTACAATCTGTAAGTTGTTTAATTGTTCCCAGTGGTTGACGGTTTAGTTAAAATGACAGTCCAAGCATTTGTTCCTTAAGGCACTTTTGTTACGGTAAAAGACCCGGTGGCCTGTCTCACATCACATCTTTTTTCTCTCTAAAAAAAAAAAAATTATTATTTAGGGTCATATTTTTAATTTTGATCATTATATTTTCACATATTTGAGACAGTTGTAAAACGTATAAACTAGTTTTTAATGAATTTTTCAATTCTTGTTTAAAGAAATTTTGTAAAGCACTTGTTTATAATTTTGAATACATGGATTAACACTGGTTTTAAAAATCCAGAAAACATTGTGTATCAAAAATATGTGATTTATACCGCCAAGTAATAATCGATAAAGTGATGTCTGTATTGTTTTGTCATGAAGTGTATATTGCTGATATTAAATGATCAACCTATTTATTCAGTATTGTTTTAGGTTGTGTGTGATATGACATCGCAGGTTTTTTTTTTGCACTGTACATTTACCCATTGGCTTTAGAGACTTTTGATTTGTTTTTAGTGTTTTCTTCTGATTGACTTGAAAGAGAAAGGAGTTTACTTAAATATTTATTGTATTATTATTATTATTATTATTATTATTATTATTATTGTTGTTGTTGTTGTTATTGCTCTTCTTTTAAGGGATGGTAAGGAAATAAAGTCTAAAAATAAAGGAAAAGGGAACAAAAAATGATGCAATTTTGAGTACTGAAATTATTATGCCATATGAGCTTTTCGGCTGAATTTCCAGTCGGTCTTTTTATTAATTTTAAGTGTGTACATAATTTGATAATATAAATTTACTTGTTGTTTGTCGAACGAGAGTGTGTAAAATAAACGTATACATATTAACATTTAAAAGTGAATAGCATATTCCAGATTGCATAGGGGTTGTTTCACAATGGTGGTTTATCTGATTGTTACGAATTTTGGAAGTTACATTTTAGTTTTTAAGTTTTATTAAACGATTTATTATTAAAAACAAAGCAAAAAAACTATTATTATTAAAGAGGGACCACCTTTGTCGAGGCAACCTTTATGATTATTAATTACTTCCCAGTCCTTAAATAATATGTAATATAATATTCATATCGCTGTATTGATAGTATCTAGAGTTCTATTTACAGGTTTTGGGATATAACAATAGTGCCATATATCTCTTACAATTTAATGAGTTTACTTAAAATTTGAACAATTTTTTGTTGACAATACACAAAAGAAGGAGGAAAATTAATTTTTAATTGGAAGTATTTCTTAGTTTAGAAATTAGAGAAAAATAAAAGAATTTATATTTTATGAAAAAAGCACAAGTTTTCTTAGGTGTTCTGAAGCATTCAAATAAAAGAAAAAAAATATTTTCGCAATGTGATATTTGTATAATACAAATATGAACAAGCCTTCTTTGGCTTCTTCATAATTCAGATGGGGAGAACAGAAGAAACTTTGGTTTTTCTTACCAGACATACTGATTTTTTGGGCCCTCGGATTTTCATTGTCTCTTAATTAAATTTAAAAAGAAAAACACCAAATGCGCCCAAATTAATCATCGAATAAAAATATGTAAAGGTAAACAATGATGAAAAGATGTTGGCATATAAAACATTCAGGCTTTAAATTGGTTTAAGAATCTTTTATGATGTTTAGGTTTTATGTGTAATAAATGTTTAGTTTAAAAGGAGAAAAACCTATATATTGTCATTGCAGTAGATATTTGTAATATATAAGTACACAAAGTATGTAAATGCATTAAAAAAAGATATTAAAATCAAAAAGTAAAACAATTTTAATCTGTGTATGTTGTATTGTGTTTTCAGAAGTTTATGGAAAAGTTTGAAGTTTTTTTTTTATATATATAGTTTCTTTTTAGTTTTTTTTTGTTTGTTTATCTGTTTGTTATTTGTTTATACCAACAATGACCAAATAATATAAATAAACATTGTTATCCCCTATTTAAACAACATATTTATTCAATACTCCCAAGAAAGGTGATCAGGGTCATGACAAGATGACAAAAAAGGGTTCTATGCACATGAATTTATTCGATACGAGTGGTGGGCTAATTAAATTGACGGATTCATCAAACTTGAGAAAAGTGCTTGAAACGGACTAGTGCAATATTTAATAACTAATTTATTGTATCAAAGATTGCTGAAAAAAATAAAATAAATTGGGCAAATATAAAAATCAGTATTTTTCTTCTGTTTGTAGGTTAAAGTGAAAGAACTGGTTTCTGCTTATAAATTTTGTAATTGATTGAAATCTTGAGTGTTAGGTTTTGGAATCTTGATTTTGATTGTCGCACTTCATTATTATTCCTTGGAGAGAGAAAATTGATTGTAAATTCATTAAATTGGGAAAAAGCACATGAGCAAATTTAACTAGTTTGTTTAATCAGTTTAAACCTACAAATTTACTTATTAGTTTTTGTTTATTTATTTAATTTGATTTTTTAATCAAGGCTCTAATTTAAATGGAAGTCTTGAAATGTGGCACTTTTATGACCAATTGGTTAGAATCTTGAATGTTAGGTTTTAGAACTCTTGGATTTTGATTGCTGCAATTCCTTGGAAAGAGAAAATTGATAGTGAATTAGTAAATTTCGGAAAATTGCATGAGTAAATGTTCAATCAGATTAAAACTATTAATTTACCTTTTTTATTTTACATTTTATCAAGGATCTAATTTAAATGTAATTTTTGAAATTAACAAACCTTTTGGTTAGAATTTTGAGCATGAGGTTTTTGAATCTTTCCGTTTTGACTATCTGGAAAAAACATTTTTTTATTTATTGGAATTTTGTAAAGCACACACTTTTCTACTTCTTGATATATTAAATTAACATTAAAAGAGCATAATTTAATAATAACCCAAATTTGATCTATTAGCCTCGAATATTTTTCATCTTAGTAATACTTAGGAGTTCAGTAAGCAGTTTTTGTTTTAAATTTTGGTTTTTCGATTGTGAATGTGGTATCGGGATTACTGCCAAAGAAATATTAGTTTTGACGTGGGTAAAACCTTCATATTTAAAATCCAAATGGTCGGATACAAGGTTTTTAGGTAAACCGACGGTGCGAGCCCCTTCTCACACTTGTCAGGTTCAATTCAATACCTGAACCACTTAAATACAATGGAATTTTCAGAAACTGCTATGCAAGCAAAAGTTTCGAAATACATTGTACAAGTACCTTTTAGGATCTAAAATATTGACTGGTTTGTCCATGATGACATGTGCAGTAATTAGTAGATTGTTTTTGCTAGATAAACGGTTGTAGGCTTTTGAAAATTTGGCAAAAAGTTTCCCAAAATGTTTCCATTCGTATTTTTAATGTAATTTTGTTTTTGGAAGTTTCGATTCGCATTGACTTAATTGAACATGATCTATACTAAGCCAAAGGCACTTTTTTTTTTATCAAAGTGAAAATAGAGCCATATTCTTGCTATTTGTATTCAACGAACGAACTGAACGATTCTCTGTAGGCTGATCAATGTCTATTAAATTTGTAGAAGTGTAAGCAATTTAAAATTTTAGGATCCCTCGGTGACTAGAATATGTAGCAATTTGAGTTATAAATGCCCGTTAGTCCTTCATTTTTTCGTTTTTATTCCGAAGGCAGATAACGCAGATTATTTATGACAGTCTAATTACAGCAAAGTTATAGTAGCTACAACTGATAGGGATAGAGTAAAACTGAGAAGGCTGAAAGGTTCCTTTTGAGCAAAATTATACATAGACAATTATTAAGGAGAAAAAAAATTCAAATTTTGAACTTGTGAGTTAACGTATAAAAAAACAAGGAAAATGAGCATAAATTTGATGTCTTAAATTACTTGAACACATAACATTTTTTTATTAAAGGATTAAGCCCTTTTATGAATTGTTCCTATTCGATCCTTTTACAATGCCAACGTCTAAACTGAAAACGTTTCGTAATGGTTCTTGAAGAACTTGTATTATTTTTAATTTTGGAAGCCGATGTTCGATTTTGGCACACGCGTGCACAACCTTGCCAACTGACATTACGGAAATTTAACATTCCTCCCCGACCAACTTTAGAATATTTCTTTAATCAGAAAATAAGATTTTAGATGATGTACAGTTGTTTTGGCCGGATGAACTGGCCAAACTGATTATGTCCTAAATGCAAAGTAGAACCGAAAAGGTACTGAAAAATCTATCAAAAATCTGTTCTTGTATCCTGTATTGATTTTATCCGACCATCATTGAGCCAGTTTTGGTATATACTTGGTAATAACTGCCAGAAGTATTTCTATCTCCGAATTCGTCTGAACCATGTCCAACGAAAACAGGTGAAAATTGAGTAATTCCGACTCGGCGAGT